CACACACACACACACACACACACACACACACACACACACACACACACAGGACTGTCTTGTGGATGGACAAACAGGCAGAATGTAGAGAACAAGTGGACATATCCATGTTACTCAGATCCCAAACTGGAGCAAAGACAAGATTTTAACAGCCTTGAAATCTATCTTCTGTTGAAGGACAAACAGCATGAAGTAGAACTCTGTATTATTTGAGTCATTTGTGCGATTCCAGAATGAGACTTATTGAGGTTATTGTTGTTAAAGCTTGTCCTGCCCCCYTCCCAGGAAGAAGACACTCACAATTTTGACGCTAATCATCGAGACTCCGTGATCATGCAGCTCGTCCTCAAACAGCAATATCTCTTCAAAGAACATGATGTGTTCCCGTGCTTTCAGTTTCTCCATGTTGATCCGCTCTGTTGTTTTTGTCACCTTCACACAAACAAAAGCCAATAAACATGGCCTTGTAAACATCCACACACTTCACACCATAAAACTACATTCAATCATCTTTTAGGAAGAACCTAAAAACTGAGAAAAAATAAAATAAAAATAAAACGAACCTTTATCTGCAGACTTTCTCCTATCAGAGTTCCTCTGTAGTCTGTGGTGTACGTCCAGTCAAAAGGTCTCACCACCTCTTTGGAGACATCAGAATCAGCTCTGAAATCATACAGAGACATGAGCCGTGTTTCCATCCAATTTTAACTCAAATTTTTAGCAAATTTTTTAAATTTCGCAAAAAAAGGAAAAAATGAAGAAATGCGAATCAGACATGTTTCCATCAACTGGTTGAAGCAAATCAACCAGGCTATGCAAAGTGCAATTACGTCAAGACACATCTGTACTAAAAAGGAAGTACAAATACATATAAAATTTTAAACGGTTTAGTGCCAATCTGTTTGCAAAAACTTGTTTACTGTCGTTAAGCTGTTTCTTTGCGCTTAACTAGAACATCCAGGCAGAACTGTGAAGTTCCTGCTCGGCGCTCAGCCTTTGGACAAGCAGCTTTTTCAGTTAAAGCCATTGCTCAGTGGAATGCTGCTCCCGATCATGTAAAAACTTGTAGTTCTTTTATTAGTTTTAAAAATAATCTTAAAAAAATCTTAAATCTACCCAATGTTGCAATCATTAAATTGCACTGGGTAATCAATTTTAGAGTTGCTTCTGGTTGTGTGGGTTGGAGGGTGGGGTAGAGGTGGGCATGATTTTATGTTTGGAGAGTGGGGTGGGTAAGTAAGTAAGTAAGTAAGTAAAGTTTTATTTAGAAAGCGCCTTTCACAGAAATATATTCACAAGTTGCTGTACAACCATTAACAGTATAAAACAGTGGAAAGAATAAAATGAAACAGAAAAACAATTACATATATGCAAAGAAAAAAAATGAAACATCAAATCAAGAAAATAATTTCAAAAATTGTAAATCAAACACAAGGTCAATGCAGTTCAAAATATACAATAATACACAAAAATATAATGAATGCGTGAATAGCGCTGTGTGTTGAAGTCCTCATAAGGATAGCAAGATGGATGTGTGTCTCCTTTTTTATCTGTGTTGCTGTTTTTGCATCAAAAAAGCTGGGAACATAGTCATTTTATGTAACAAACTATATTAATCTCATTAATATTCAAATAAAAACAGAATCTTTAGCACTAGATAAAATAAGTAATGAATTTATTTTTTATATTTTTTTAAGAAAGAGCTGAAAGAATAAATCCTGTGAGGCAGCACTTTATACAGCCTCTTCAGACAAGGCTTAGTTAATAAATGTTTTTTTAGTTTGTTTTATTTTAAATTAAGACTTGTG